CGGAGATGGAAGGCAGCTGTATGGAATCCTCGACGACAAGTTGCAGAAACTGCTGAAGGAGAGGGTGAATCGAGTCAGTTTGCTGAGGTGAAAGCCATCCAACTGGCCCTGGACATTGCTGAACGAGAAAAGTGGCCAGTACTTTATCTCTATACTGACTCATGGATGGTGGCAAATGCCCTGTGGGGGTGGTTGCAGCAATGGAAGCAGAGCAACTGGCAACGCAGAGGTAAACCTATCTGGGCTGCTGCACTGTGGAAAGATATTGCTGCCCGGGTGCAAAACCTGGTGGTGAAGGTACGTCATGTAGATGCCCATGTACCCAAGAGTCGGGCCACTGAGGAACACCAGAACAACCAACAAGTGGATAAAGCTGCTAAGATTGAAGTGGCTCAGATGGACTTAGATTGGCAACATAAAAGTGAATTATTTTTGGCCCGGTGGGCCCATGACACTTCAGGCCATCAGGGCAGAGATGCAACATATAGATGGGCCCGTGATCGAGGGGTGGACTTAACAATGGACACTATTGCCCAGGTTATTCATGAGTGTGAAACATGTGCTGCCATTAAACAAGCCAAACGGTTAAAACCTCTTTGGTATGGAGGACGATGGCTGAAGTATAAATATGGGGAGGCCTGGCAGATTGATTATATCACACTGCCACCAACCCGCCAAGGTAAGCGCCATGTGCTTACCATGGTGGAAGCAACCACCGGATGGCTGGAAACGTACGCTGTGCCCCATGCCACTGCCCGGAACACTATCCTGGGCCTTGAGAAACACATTTTGTGGCGACACGGCACCCCAGAGAGAATTGAGTCAGACAATGGGACTCATTTCCGGAATAACCTTATAGACACTTGGGCCAAAGAGCATGGCATTGAGTGGGTATATCACATCCCCTACCATGCACCAGCCTCTGGGAAAATCGAAAGGTACAATGGGCTGTTAAAAACTACACTGAGAGCAATGGGTGGGGGAACTTTCAAGCATTGGGATACACACTTACCAAAGGCCACCTGGTTGGTCAACACTAGAGGTTCTGCCAACAGAGCTGGCCCAGCCCAATCGGAACTTTTACATATTGTAGAGGGGGACAAAGTTCCTGTGGTGCATATGAAGAATTTGCTGGGGAAGACAGTCTGGGTTATTCCTGCTTCAAGTAAAGGCAAACCCACTCGTGGGATTGCTTTTGCTCAGGGACCTGGATACACTTGGTGGGTAATGCAGGATGATGGGGAAGTCCGATGTGTACCTCAAGGGGATATAATTTTAGGGGAAAACAGCCAATGAACTTAATTGTATGTTGTTGCCTGCTGTGTAATACTTTAATAGCCCATCAACCAGATGTCTTCAGGCCACCAGCGACTAGCCCTGACTTCCCTCCAACCATCATCCCAAGAGAGAGCGAACTTTGACAGAACCAGACAAGTTCTACAGTAAGGGAATGATCAGCATCAGCAGGCAACGACCCAATACTGCACGCGGCCTCTCCTGCTCTGAAAGACTGTTACAAGAGATGGCGCCTGACATCATGGACCAGATGGACTCAGCAGCTTTATAGGGACTGGTCCATGCACTACGATGAGAGTGCACTTAGATAAGAGTGAGGGTATATTGAAAATGTGGGATCTGAGCATGACGTGAATGGTATGGAATAAGGGGTGGATAATGTCCTGGGTTTAGCAGTGGCAGTCATTTTTCTCTTTCTTGGTAGCTGGTGCAGGGCTGTGTTTTGACTTTCAGCTGGGAACAAAGCTGATAAAAACGATGTTTTGGTTTGGCCAAGGACTTTGTGAGTCTCATGCTCTGCCAGGGAGGAGGGGAGGCCGGGAGGAAGCAGAGACAGGACACCTGACCCAAACTGACCAAAGAGGTATTCCATACCACAGCACGTCATGCCCAGGGGGGAACTGGGAGATACCCGGAAGGAGAGGGGGTCGGCCAGGTCGGACTGGTGGTTCGGCGCGTGGTATTGTACTCCTTTCCTTTGCTATTTTCTCTTATCATTGTTGTCGTTGGTGGTAGCGGTGGTGATTCGTATTGTACATTAGTTGCTAGACTGTTTTTATCTCAGCCCGTGGGAGTTGCATTCCTTCGATTCTCCTCCCCACCCCTCTGGGAGCGGGGAAAAGGGGCGGCAGCCCCTGGGGAAGGGGGGGGGGCGGACTAACGCCTGGCACCACTCACTGGGAGTAAGTGAACAAGCTGTTTGGTTGGGTTAAACCACGACACAGAACAAGAAAAGCAGCTTATTTCCCTTTCATTTTTCTATCTTAAACCTTGAGGGAACATGGCACTGTTGAGTGAATTTTCCTGTATGTATGGAATTCATTAGAACTAGAATCTTTTCTTGCTGTTTCCCCTGAGAGAGGTGCCTCGGGATTGATAGTTGTTTGCTCAGATGCACTATTGGAACTTCTTTCAGTAGTTCCAGGTCAAAATACCGAGGCCTCAGAAGATTCTTTTTATCTGATAGTCCCTTAGACTGTGGGATGATTTTACTCAACTGCTAATTGAAAATACCTTTGCGAGCAAGTGGGAACTAAAACTGTTTGCTAATAGGAGAAACCTGCTTAATTGAAAATCCTTTGGATTCTTCAGCTCAAAGGATATACTTCGCTCTTTAATGAGCAGCAAAGCTATATAAAAGGGTGAGAAAAGAGTTGAAAGGTCTTATTGTTTACACCGTGACGAAAATACACATCAACATGGAATATGAGTCTAGTGCTTACTCTCTTCAGGAAACTTGTTCAGGGAAACTGTTCTCTATTGCACCTTTCAGCTCACATAGACATTTGCATTTAATAGAGGAATGAGTGTCAAGTTTTTATGTCTGCCTCACCTTTTATTGATCTTTGAGAATAAAGTGTTTCTATGCACCCTGAATTCCTCCCAGGCTTCCATCTTAACCAGTCCATTAACTTCCACATGTCTTTTTTTCTTAGATTTCGTAAAAGTAACTCACCTCAGAGGCCAAGAGAGCATTGCTTTCTATTTAAATGCATCTAAAGAACTCAGAAAACTGCCAAGGCTCACAGTCTCTTAAAAGGAAAAGAATAAAACTTAGGCAATCAAATCACAGCACTTGTCCAAATGTATTATGCTTTATCAAAGAATGTTACGAACATGATCTTTTTCTTTCCCTTCTAGAAGTACTTGGCACATAATTCATTAGACTCTTCCAACTTTGTAAATCTGTAGTTTTGCTATTTGACTGCTACTTCTGGCAAATATGAATACACTTCCTCCTCCCTTAAACATCCACATACGTGTCCAGATGCTTAATTTAGCAGAACAGTATTATATTTTTTTTTCAGTGTAACTGCACTGATGTTCAGGCTATTCTTGCTGTGATCTTTTTTTTCTTGAACCAACTCTTTGTTTCACCTTTATATTTCTGTATCTGTTTTTATAATCTCAACCTCATAATTCTGTAGTGTTAAAATGCTCTGTGGGATTGCCATTAATGATGTGATCCTACAAGGTGTCAAAGACTGGTTCGAGATATTAAAACATACATGATTATTTGGGAGCTGTTCTCAAAGGAGGCTTTAAATACTTGTTGAATGCATGGTGGAATTCATAAAATTTTTACAAGATGGTACTGTAAATTGAATGTTTTTCTAAGCATGTTGTAAATAATGTGAAGAAAATGCCACAAGAGGTAAAGATTAATGCATAAGAGTTCATTTGTCTCCAGCTCTTCAAAAGCTATTAATCTTCCAAGTCACCGAAAATACCTAACTCTCCTGTAATGTGGAACAAACTCAGTATTTAGAAATACAGTAAGACCCATGCCAGATACTTTCCATTTGAGTTATATATTGAGATATATGTATTTGTGTGAATCATATTTAAGGGAAAATCAGGATGAAACATGCATGAAATTTTATCTTGAGAACTTGCAAGCCATAAGCAGTTTTATACTTCTGTCTTGCCGTTGCATGCACTACTGTGTTTTTTTGCCTCCTGTTGTTTCCCTTATTTCTCATACTTGATCCACCCATCAGATGTAGGTGTTTAAATAAGAAGGCAAGCTATTCCAAGCCTTGCACACCTGCTCTCATCAGTACTATGGCCAAGGGGAGCACTTCCCTTTTATCTACCTTGTATTCTTAACTCATCACACTGCTGGAGGAATCGGATTTTGTAGTTACATGTGTTTGCCTAAAACAAAAATGGTGTTTTATTCTTAGTCTTTGTGTCTTTAATAGCAAGCATACATTGTAACTCTTAGTGAAATGTATTGTCCTCATATCCTAAATAACTTTAAAATATTTTTATAGCTGTTTTTTACTAAAAAAATTTACTTGAGAGTCTTTTCAGAATGAGTTGGAAACCAGTTTCAGAAATACATCCTCATTCCAGTGCTGATGAGATAGCTGGAAACAATAGGTGGACTTAGAGAATAAATTACTAAAAAATAACCAAACCAACCTCCTCCCCCCAACAAACAAATAAACAAACACATGAAAAAAAAAACAAACAAAAAAACTTTAAAGTTTTAAATTACTAGCTTACCTCAGGCTTATGAGCAAGACTGGAAAAGATTTTACTGTAGTGGCCTTTATCAAACGAAGGCATGGTCATAGTCAAATTGATGAAACAATGTCTTACAAAATCTCTACTACATTTTCAGGTACTTAAAAGTGTGCAATCTTCATTTTTATTTTTTGTGAAGTTCCATGAAAGAATCCATTATGGAAACACAGCTCTTGTTTCAGCCACACGGTTGGGTCAGAGTTAAAATCAGTTAGGAAAAATAATTCTGGGGAAGCTGACGTTGGTCATTCCTATACTATAACTTCCTACAGCATCAGTGGTTTGTTTCCAAACCACCAGCTGTTTATCTGGCACATAACATAGAACCTTGAACAATTACATCAGCATGCATAAACAAGGGGTTATAATAGAATATATAGAAAGACTTAGCACATAAGAGCGGGTTTAGAGCATCAGCTTTGAAACTAAAAGTATTTTTTTGTTCTGCACAGAATGAGATACAAAATACCAAAGATACTATAATGGACCATTTTTTGGCTGCACAAGAAGGAAACAAAACCGTGTCAAACATGCAGCTTGCTGAAATGAAAAATGCTGTTATAAAACATATGTATTTTGCTGCAGTAAGTAACAAGAAGTTAATGCTTTCTTAGCATACAATGTATACTGTTAAATTTATCTTTCATTATAGTGCAGAGTGATTAAAGTAGATATTTTACATCTTTTGAAATAGTAATAATGCCTTTTAACCTTCAGTGTTTTATAATCCCATATTTACTACATCTACCATTAGTTGAATTATAATTTAGTATTGGTAATTGAGAGGTATGGATGTATGAAAGACATCTTGGACTACTTGAAATCATAGTGTAATATGTGGGATAAGTAACAAATATTGTTCAACAAAATGTCTTTGGATTACAGGTTTTCTAGGACTTTCCTGTTCTTTAGCCAAATTGCAGTAACACATGTAAAACTAACCATATTCTAGAGCAAATGTTTTGGTGATTAATGTGAATGTTTTTTATAAAGCCAAAGATAGAACTAAATGCTCTTGTCTTAATGTCATATACCTAATTCTGATAAACGTGCTGAATTAGCAATTAAAACCACTATTTCATATCTAAAAAGACACAATAATTTGACTTAGGGTATATTATTCTGTAAGTTACAGTGATACAGATGGTGGCGTATTTTTTAAGAGCTTGCTTACACAAAGCACTGTATGATTTTTGTGATGGCAAAATCAGGTACTCTATGTATATGAAGTTCTTAATAGCAAAAGAATCAGAATTTTTAACTCCTCAATGTACACAATGTTTAAACACAAGGTTAGCAAATAGAAGATTGATGCTGCTTAAATCTATACACCTTCAGATGATGCATCTTACATTCAAAGACATTTTATCATTACTGTGCCCTCCAGGCCTTTAAAACATGTTGACTCTTCATGTATACTACACACAAGTGCACTTATTATCACATTAACTTTCCCTCAAACTGTTACGTAGTTTGCATTTGCAGATGGAGTAAACATAATCCTGAAGGCAATCTATCTCTGTTAAAAGACTTTTTTGATAACATGTGTTAGTAAGATTGTACCACTAGACTGTTAACTAAATGCAGCAACAGTAGTAACACATTTTTACACCTACTGCCATATCTAGGCAACTTGAGAGATCCAAAGTTTGCATTTTGCCACAGAAAAACTGAAAACACTCCATATTTTTTAAGGTGGTTAAGTGGACCAAATCTAGCAAAATCCTTACCAAACAACCCCAGAAACAAGAAACAGAGAATATCAGGAAAAATGGATAGAAAGAATGCCCATATTAGTTTCCTTTTAGGTCACTAATTCACCATTTCATAACTTCACCATCCAAATAGTAAAATAGAAATAGATGGCTATGTTGAATATTTTGCTTGTACCGTGTTTAACAAAAGTTGTCATTTTGGGAACTTTGTACAGTATTTATTGAATATGTTTATTGGTAGATTGACTTTATCCTGTTTTACAGGCTGTTAAGCACAAGTTTGCTCAAAAAGACCAGCGGAACAAATGTGGCGCAGAGGTAAGTATGGTCACAGAGATGTCATGTTGCATATATTGAATATATTATTGAATTAGGCAAATGCACTTTCAGTGAGAAGCCAGCTATCAGAGAAACATTTATAATATTTGCTGTCCAAAATGAATTAAATTATTGAAGAGTTAAAAAGCATCATTGGAATGATGGACGTGATGATCTTAAAGGTCTTTTCCAGTCTAGTTGATCCTATGTTTAATGTTGCTTGTTCTTACAACACATGCTGTACTGTCCCCTTTATTACAAATAAACTCTTTAACCCTGTTACCTAAGAGAACCTTACCTGTTAATTTTAGAAGAAGCAAAATGCCCCTAATATGATTTAGAGCATCTTAAATTGTTCAAGCACTATATTTATGCAGTAGCAATAAAGAGAAGGTGTACACATTTTGCAGTGGCCACCTGGTTTTGCTAGTAGGGACAGACTTTAACTGAAGGTTGTCTCACGGTAGAAGAAAAACCAGTGGCTTTTACAGCATGAGCCTTAAACATCATGCAGGTTTCAAAGTCTACTGAAGTAGACATTGCAAGTAGAATACATTATGTTTTACAGTCCTGTTTTCACAGTTACGTTGACTTAATTCCTCTTTTTTTTTTTTTTTTCCCTCTGCTATTGAGTTAATTTCTCCTTTTTCTTCCAATTAAGTCAAATAAATGCCGCAAATCAGGGTGCAGGTCAGCAGCAGGTTTATTAAGTCTTTGTTATATCGAAATAAATACTTTTCAAAATTTTCCTTTTTTATCTGTAATGCTAATCATAAAATTTTAAAGTTGCTACATTACCTGTTAGTACTTAAAAAGCATTATACATAGTAGCAATGAGGTACTGTGCTTTATGTGATAACTTGTGTTATTTAAAAGTTAAAATAGGAAACACGTGAAGTTATCTGTGAGTTTCCTGTATTTCTTGGTAAATGAAGGTTTGATAACTTCATGAGCTGTCCTACATAAATAGTTATGTGATGTCTGGTGAGGTCCTACTTTGAAAAATCAGCTCTTGGGCTTCACATAAATCTCTTTTTATCTGATTTCTTTCTGTTATCACTGTAAGAAAGGGAAGAAAAAAATATTTTTAAAACATAAGCACTAAAATGCCTTTGTCATCCAGCACTGCCATTAATGGGCAGAATGCTGTGTGCATTTCTGTTACTGGACAGATTTGTAACTGAACAGATTTGTATTGAAATTTAAGGTTAATGTTTAGCTTATTGAATTTATGGGGAAAAGGCCCCTTCAGCTTTCTTGACTCATGTAAGTTTAAATTGATCTTCTGTGCTTCTAATAATAGTGTATTTTTTTTTTGTTTGGAAATTTTAAGAATTTTCATATGCATGACTGCCACTGGCTTTTATTGCTTTGCGGAATATCCGTTGCTAGTCATTGCATCTCGCATGGGTCTTTTATAAGCAGTATATTAATGGTTTTTAAAAACAGCTCCAAGAAACATTTCCAGTAATACTGGTGAAGCAAAATAAAACCTGCAAATCAAATTAGCAGAGTAGAACTACATACTATATTCAGTCATCTCGGTTTGCATCTGCGAGGAAGGCTTAACTCAGATAAGTGTTCTGTTATCTATTATCTTCTCTAAAATATTTCTCTTTTGCCAGCTTCTGTTGCACATTATGCTGTATAAAACACAACTTATTTGTTTGTGGATCTTTGGTTTTGATTTGTTTCTGCTAAAGTTTTGATAGTTGTACCAGCAGTGTTTCACAAGAAACTGCTAGTTCCTCATCAGCCAGAATGTGAGCCAGTGCAGCTTTATACAGCTTATGAATATTAAGGCCCTACAGTAGGTGTCTCTGCTACTGAATAAAGTTCGTGGCCTCAGTTTTCTATCCTCCTTCCTTCCCCCCTTACAAATAAACTGAAAACCGGTTCTCCAGTTCCTCCTTAATTTGAATGTAATAGATTTGTCTTGGTATACTTTTCAAATAATGCATTGATGCTGCTATTTGTTCTAGTACTAGAATTTTCAAGAGATACAAATTTCAATCACAACATAAAAAGATGGCTGCTGATATGATCACCAGATGAGGGTCAGTAGTAACATGCCTGTATGGGCACAATATACTGACTCATCTTTAGACATCTTAAATCCAGCCAGCAGAGAAGTTGTTCTTTGACTACTATTAAACAGTTTATGATTGCTCTTTATATGTGCTGTTTGCATATCATTAACATTACAAAAGTATGAATGTAACTATTATTGCCAAAGGGAAATAATGTGAAAATTTTAATAGTGCATATAGGAACAAGAAAATGTAAATAAATGTGAGTTGAAAATGCCAGATGCACAAAGACTTGATTAAAAGAAAATTGTCTAGATGAACAGCTTTATTTATTGTTAATGTAACAGTGGCATACATTAGGAAACTGGGAAATTAAACATTTGCAGAGTCTTGTGCTAAAGTGGAGCTCATTTGCTGAGGCTTTAGCTATGCTTTAACTGTCACTTCCTTCAGAAGATTTTTCAGGCTTGACCTGAGCTCCTAATGTTTTTATTAGTGAAATGTTTTTGAAAACAATCTTGCCAATAGCAGTGTACTCAACAGACCTGAAACCACAATTTGATTCAAAATCTGTGTTAACTTAAATTTTAAATTAATTTTAAAGCAATTAGTTAGGATGTTCTCGTGAGACCTCACTTGGAGTATCGTGTACAGTTCTGGTGTCCTCAACATAAAGAGGACATGGATCTGTTGGAGCAAGTCCAGAGGAGGGCCATGAGAATGATCAGGGGACTGGAGCACCTCCCATATGAAGATAGGCTAGAAAGTTGGGGCTGTTCAGCCTGGAGAAGAGAAGGCTGCATGGAGACCTCATATCAGCCTTCCAGTATCTGAAGGGGGCATATAGGGATGCTGGGGATGGACTCTTCATTAGGGACTGTAGTGTTAGGACAAGGGGTAATGGGTTAAAACTTAAACAGGGGAAGTTTAGATTGGATATAAGGAAGAAATTCTTTTCTGTTAGGGTGGTGAGGCACTGGAATAGGTTGTCCAAGGAGGTTGTGAATGCTCCATCCCTGGCAGTGTTCAAGGCCAGGTTGGACAAGGCCTTGGGTAATATGGTTTAGAGCGAGGTGTCCCTGCCCATGGCAGGGGGGTTGGAACTCGATGATCTTAAGGTCCTTTCCAACCCTAACTATTCTATGATTCTATGTGTTGAGTAGCTTTATCTAGTGTACATTGGGAGCCAGGTTTTTTGGCAGGAATCATAAAGTCTACAATTATCAGGGTCAAAAGGAACAGCAAATTTATGTAACTGTTTAACTCCCAGCAGTCCAGTTAGAGGTCTTCCTGGCCACTTCTCTGAGTTGTGATTTCCTAGCCAAGTTTCTTGGAATTTACTAGAGCCTCAGGGAGTGTGGTCAAACAAAATAGCTGGATTTCAAAACAGAAATTTATCAGGCAGAGGGAAACTGTGCTTCTGTTAGCATTGTGGTTGTGACCGGTTCGTACATCTTGGCTTCAGCTTGAATCTGGACTAGAAATAGCAATACCTTGCTGGAGGAAAGAGGTAAATAACAGTGTAGCTGAGATATTCAATAGCTCCTCTTTCCTATCATTAATCTGTGGAAATAAAGGTTTGGAAAGCTGAGAGCACACACAGTAACAGGGAAATTGCAGGGCAGATACAGCATTTCATGAAAGCCATTAGATCCTTCTTCGTTCTTTGAAAGCTTGCAGAGTTAAGTGTTTCACTGTCAGGAGTGGTGGAGAATAAGAAGGAAGGCCTGTGCCATTAAGATGATCTTCAGAGCTTTGAAAATCCACTGGGATCAATATCTATGCTATCATCGGTAGCATTAGCTGCTTTCTGACATGCTAAATGGGAATAGGAGAACTGGGGAGAAAAAACAGTTACATGGTTTATGGTTTTATAATGTGTACTTGTAAATGATGTATTTCATGATTTTACATTTTTCTCTAACTTCAGTGCTGTTCAGAAGCTGTTCATTGGTACTAATTATCTTAGTGCTCCAGCCATATATTGTGGGAGGTACTCTGCAGTTTTAGAAATATTAACAGTCCTTTGCATACCTTTCCAGAAGAAATTACAGACAAGTTATTGGGTGTGAATTCTATTCTGTTTTTAAAAAGGGTAGATGTATCCAGGTCTTCTAAGAAGAGAAGCACATTCTGGAGCCTACTGTCTTTTCAATGAAATCCTAGTTCAGTAATAGCAACTTTTCTAGATGACAACTTGTTGGATCAGGGAATAAGTGGTATTTCTGTTTTAATTTATAACCTTCTCCCTGTTTACCAACATTTTCCTGCTAGTTCTTGTAAGGTGTTTTTGTTTGTTGTTGGTTTTGTTGTTGTTTGTGTTTGTTAAGTTGTTCTTTCACTTACAAAGTTATCTTATTCCTAGGTTAAAAAAACTGACCTGTCCAGAGGCACATGGTATATGCTTGAAGGACTAGTTGAAGAGTATTTATTTCCTGATGTAATCACAGAACTTGCTGCTAATCAGAAGTACTTTACACCTCCTGTGCAGCTTATTAATTCTCTTCTAGAATATGTTCTGTTGGTGAGAGATGAAGACTAAAAATGTTATCAATATTAAAGCAAGAAATTGAAGTGTTGCGATCTTTGCTTCTGATACAGTATTTAGTGGGTTTTTTAGTGATGTATTTACCGTTCACTTTGTGTTCATCAGTGTGTGTTAAAAAGGAAAGAATGTACTTAAGGTTTTCTTTTAAATAATTATTTATTTACAAACTGTATGAATGTAGTGCTCTAAAATTGTGGAAGAATTGGCCCATAATGTTTTTTGTTGCTTTTAGAAACAACACTTCTGTGACTTTTTTTTAACCTAGTAGACCGCATATAGAGAGCATAATTGAGAAGAAGGTTTGTTCTAAGCAGTGATATGCTCAGCTGGAATATCACACTAGAGCAAGCTCTCCCTTCCTTTTTTTTTGTAAACTCAGGATTTTGCTGCTGTAGTTATGCATTAGATTGCATATTACTTCAGTGATTAAATTTAGTCACGTCGGAATTGTAAGAAATAAAGAAAATGTATAAACTCTTAGTGACTGGGAGATCCTTGGCCAGTATGGAGCCAATAATGTTTTCACATTTCATTACAGGGAAATACCGATGCATTATTTTGTGCTAAGTTTTACCAAGTTTTGTACCTCGTTCTCCAACATGATCCACCTTGGAAGTCTCCATCTATGTTAAAGTATTATTTGGAATTTCTTCAGTGTCCTGTCTGTAAGAAAGGCACATGGTCCTTGATTGAGGTGCTTGTAAGGTAAGATTAATGAGGTGTTGGATGCAGTAGTTGTTATCTTGCTCCAGACTCTGGGATGGGGGGAGACTTGAAATTCTACTATATTAAAGTCACATTTTCACCAGGAAAAGTTAATAAAATGCGAAGGTCTAGAATTATAACTGATATCTGGACCTTTCGCTTTATGGTTCAGTAAGTGAACTCGTTGGAACAAGTCCAGAGGAGGGCCACGAGAACGATCAGGGGACTGGAGCACCTCCCATATGAAGATCGGCTGAGAAAGTTGGGACTGTTCAGCCTGCAAAAGAGAAGGCTGCGTGGAGACCTAATAGCAGCCTTCCAGTATCTGAAGGGGGCATATAGGGATGCTGGGGATGGACTCTTCATTAGGGACTGTAGTGGTAGGTCAGGGGGTAATGGGTTAAAACTTAAACAGGGGAAGTTTAGATTGGATATAAGGAAGAAATTCTTTCCTGTTAGGGTGGTGAGGCACTGGAATAGGTTGCCCAGGGAGGTTGTGAATGCTCCATCCCTGGCAGTGTTCAAGGCCAGGTTGTGCGAGGCCTTGGGTAATATGGTTTAGAGCGAGCTGTCCCTGCCCATGGCAGGGGGCTTGGAACTTGATGATCTTAAGGTCCTTTCCAACCCTAACTATTCTATGATTCTAAGTGTTAGCTCACAGGAAGAGGGCTTTTTGGTTTGTTGTTTTGGAGGTTTTTTTGGAAAGGAAAGAAGTACATTTTCTCATCCTCCTTCCTTTAAAAAAAATGATTTATTTTAAGCTTTCCACAAATTACAGTAATCCATGTATTACTACTGTTCTGGTGTTTATGTATGCATACATATATGTACACACACACACAACTGCAATTACAAAGCAAATTCCAGTCTTATCTTACCAAATATTAAGCTTCATGTTTTATTTTTATTTTAATCATAAACTTCACCATTTTGTTCAGGAAGTCTGATTATATCCTATACACTGACAAATACAAGTCTCAGTCAGTACATAGGAGCTGTTTGGGTAGATGGTCTATCCTTTAGCTTGAGAGCTCACTTTTTGTAATGTACATCAATAGAAATAAATTCTTCTATACATTTGGAAGGGAAACAGTACCTCTTCTTACTACTGTCATAAAATGTGAAGCAAAACCTAAATATTTTGAAACAACCGTAATTACAGATACATGAACGTGTGTTATTGTAAGCATGTCTGGTTTTGAAGGGCATTGAATCACTGTAATTGGACGCTTAATAGTTTTTATTAGGAATGTTGTCACATGGAATGCAAGAGAATTTATCTCTTAGACAAAGTATTTTATCTTTTGGTACTTACAGAATATGAATACCCGGTAGTTGCTTACCTCGTGGTTCCAGTACTCCAAAAAATGTGTTCCAGTAGCCAAAAAAAAAATGTGTTCACACTTGACTTCAAAATTATCTCCATCATGTTGATCATTAGACTTGGTCATGAACTGTGATACTAGTCCTGTCAAACAGTATGTGTGAACTGTTACCTTAACTAAGCTTTGTAGAATGTTACACTGTCCATAAAATATTACCAGACTACCTTGTAATTAAAAGATTTTAAAGAAGTCCTGTTAAGTTCAGTAATTGTGTGGTACCTCAGGTAGGGACAGAATAATTAAATACGGTAAAATTATTCAGTTTAGACTATAATAAAAAAATCTTAAGCTACAACAAAAAGTCCCAGTCACAAACTTTTTTATGTTGTTGGGGATTTTTTTAATAATGCTTTAACACAAGAAAGTTAGGCCTTAAAATTATGAATATTGCTGGGGAGCAAGATATTTCCTTGTCAGAATTGTCAAAAGTCAATTTTAGCAGGTAGATCAGACTATGATTCCTGTCATACAAATGGATTTTTGGTGTTTATTTTTCAGGTCTTGCCTTTATTGCAAAGCCATTTGTCATGCAGTCCCAGTTTCAGGGGGAGGAGATGAACAGAGGATAGTTCACAAAAGATTATTGAAGTTTTTCTTTGAGTTAGTAAAATCTGAAGTAGAGCATCTGACAAAAAGGTAGGCTTTATAGGATAAAAAGTTCTTACTATTTTTCACAATTTCATATGCATTTCTGTATCTACAGCAGGTTGTATCATGATTTTTGTATATTCCTAATAAGGTAATGTTCTACAGAGATGGCAGTTTAGCATTTCCTTTTGTATTTTTAAATTCTTAATATGCTTGTTGTAATTTGTGTAGGTTTTTTCATAATCATGACTTAAGGCCTCTAACTTTTACCAGCCTGTTATTTCACTATATTACAAGTTTCAGTAAGCATTTCATTTTGCTCATAAGTTTGTATTTTTAGCTTTTCAATGCTTTGGTGTTCATTCTTTAAGGCAGACAAGCAGTATTTTGGACATACTGATTTTTTCCTTTCTTATTCAATTAACCTTTATCTTTTGCCAGTGAGACAATTACCTTTCCTTAGTTTATCACGTATTAAAATAGTCTTGGTTTTGCTCTGCCTTTATACAGTAAAGGCAGCCTTTACTTTATGTAATATTAGCACAATATTAGCATTCCTTCAGTCTGACTGTAATAGTCATCATTATTTTACTTACTATTCATCAGAAATTGTGTCTGATCTATCCACACTTAAAAATTGCCAAACCTGTGTGTGTTTTGACAGAAGACAGCGTTTCTGTCTGGTAACTACAGTAATCAAAGCAGCATAAAGATTTAAGTTTTTTCACTTTCTTTTTTTGCAGTTTGGTTGAAGGGACCAATTCACAGCATCAGCAAGTCAGGCCACAGACAGTTCTTCTAAAGACCTTTTGGCTAGGAAGTGAAACCTCAGTGTTTTTTACCAAAAACGTAAATATTTTAGCAGATTGGGTCATACTTTCCTATAGAGAATTGAAAAGAAAAAATGATGTGAGTATGAGTTTTATGCTTTAAAATAATGAAGACTGACTTTTTTTTTTTAAAGGCATTCCTTTGTTCGCTCCTTTTTGAGGAATTACATGTAAGTATCACAGCTGCTTGTTATAGCTGCCTTTTGTTGTGAAGCATGCTGGTTTTTGCTCCACTAAAGGAAATGAATTGATCCGTAAGATTCTCATATTGATCTGTAGAGAAGAAACGAATCATGAGTAGCTTGTTGGCTGCATTCAGATGTTCACATGCCCTTACCAGCAGGTATTACTGTGGTCATTAGGGACACCAACTTAACACATCCTGTCAAACAATAAGGTGTAACGGAAAAGGTGATTATCTTATTTTACAGTGATTGTATGCAGGAAATGTTGGAAGGTGATAGCTGACAAAACTAATGTTTTGGGGTTTGTGTTTTTTTTTATTTTCTACAGATATGCAGTATTTTATTTTAATAAATGCTAGAGTTTTCTTTCCAAGTCCCTTAGTTTCGTTTGGTATCTTCCCTAGATCTTTTCAGAAAAACGGAATTGAAGGCAACTTAATTGCTGTTCTGTGACCTGCTGACCAGCAGGACATTGACCTAAAAGATACTGAGTGTCCTCTGTACCATCTCTTTCTTTTCAGAAGTTAGAGGCCTTGTAAAGCATCTTTGACTTCTAGATTCTCAAATAAAGTACAAACTTACTGCTGTCTCTGCGTTCTCTTTTAAATTATTGTGAAAGCACAGAATAAATAGGTACTTCATTCATTTTTTTCAATACAATAACAGAACAGCAATAGAAAATGAAGTATTCTGGAGAAAAAAGCAGTTTTAATATAATACCTAGTAGTTCTTCATTATGTTAAGAAAGAAGAAAGATTAAACATAATGAGAGCTTCACTCATCTTACCTAGCCAGACCTCCTACCTTTTTTGAGGGCTATCAAAGCAAGACGTTCTGAAACAGTGCTGCCTTTTATCCTTGTCAAGATATTAAAAAAGTGCCTAAAATTGGGTTTCTATACCTGTATTTATATTTAAACAGCCTACCTTTTAAAAGGTACTGAGCACCAAGCAGGCTTGCATTCAGTTGATGTCAGTGGCCATTCTGTTTCTTTGGAAAATGAGACTGCTTTCATATGTTCCCGGTGTTGAATCTGCAGTTCAAGTATAGGCATCATTTTCTTTTTTCTACTATGCCTTCCTTTGATAAGTTCCAGCACTTTAAGCCATACCTTTTTCATAAACCATTCTTTGCATAAGCAGAATAATCACTTGTGTCAGATAGTGTAATACATATATGAAAAATAAAGAATAAAACATAAAATATAGAGCCCTACCTCTTGTTTAGATTCTATTTCCTTTATATACATGTATATAATTATTGTGCTTTGTAGTATGTAAGAATTGTACTTACAAGGCCTCTGGCTTTCAAAAAGAAAGAGGTGGTATGCAGAACACTCAGTATCTTTCAGGTCAGTGTCCTGCTGGTTGGCAGGTCACAGAACAGCAATTAAGTTGCCTTCAATTTAGTTTGTATTGTACATGTATATAAGAATTTGTACAATATCCCTGGAGATACGAATTCTATCCTTAAAAAGCATCTTGTTGGCTCATATATCTGTAGTGTTGTATGTTCTTTCTTACAGCTTTATTCTTTAATTTCATATTTCACTTTCTTTCCGTTTGCATTTTTGAGCAAAAATAAACTCTGAAACAAAATACTGTATTTTTACATTCAAAAATAGTCTATCTTTTTCTGCACTCTCAGTTTTGTTATACTGAAATTTGATACGCTGATTTTTCCATATATTCAGAGACTCATTTAAAATTCCATGACATAGTTGTAAAGGTCATTCAGAAAGCCAAAGGAGCAAATCCTCCCCAGCTTTTCTTTTTTTTCCTCCCTATTTGTTTATTATTTTAGAGATGCATAAATAAAACCAGAGTATATCCATTTCATTAAATATAGCATATTGGGTATGAAATTTCCCTTCCTGTCTTGAGTTTAAGGGTGTGAGTCATTGTTATCAATTTTGTTTTTTTAAACGCTGTTTGCTTAAGTGGCAATACATTGATGAGAGTCATGTAAGGCCATTCAGAAGGGTAAATGGAAGTAATGACTCAGGATAGTCTTATTATCTGCATGGGCACAGAAATTGTTTTATAGCACAGTGTAAAGTGGTGACCATGTTTCCCAGTTTTACGAGCGTGTTAGCTGGTGGGAAGAAACAAGCATGCCACTTTTAATATACTCAACTTCCATGCAGTTTTCCAATGAAAATATCTGTAAACAAAACCAGATAAATAATTTAATTTTTATTGGGATATATCTAACACATTCTTTCCTACATGGTAAAAGTGGGAAATTATTTTTTTCTTTTTTAGCTTTTTAGAATCAGATTGATTCTAAGATTGCAACAAATCATCACTAGAGGGAAAACACTGTGTATGTTTCCTCGCTTCCAGTGCTGATTTGTTGCAAAGTTATGTTCTATAAATATACATATGTGTGTATGTGTGTGTAGAAAGAGCAATCCAGAAGCAATTGTAATATTTTAACTGTGAAAATCCGTCCTGAAATTCTGAGTTACTGGCTTCCTTGGCTTACTTACTCTGAAGGTATTTCACTTTTGAGATCTATTATAACCTACATCAGAAAAAAAGAAAAAGAAAGAATGAAGGGCTGTAAACTCTTAAGTTACATATATGAGTGCATTTACTTTCTGGTGTTTGGTGGATGTTAGTTTATGTAAAAAAAAAATAAAAATACTTTGGAGTTAAAATGCACTGCCAAATAACATACAAGTTTTTCCAGGACTTGAGATCTTCAGATCAATATCAAATGTACTTCTAATATAAATACTATTTTTTATTTATTACGTTATTTAAATAGGTTTGATACAGAACCTCCTGGGTCAAGGTTCTTTGAACCAAAGCTCTTAGTTCAGTTTAAGAATTTATGAAGCACGCTATATATTGCTTATAACACTTTTCATATCATTGAGCGATTGCATGGCTTTTAATAATGCCACCGAAATGCTTTTCATTCCTGATACTACTGGTGGGTTGGTTTTTTTCCAGGAACAGCTGTCTTGCATAGCCTGACAAGTGAAAAAGACATTAATTCCATTTTTTAATTGTATCATCTTACACATTTCTAATTTGTCATCTTCCCTGTTTCAAGTATCATTACCTGGTATAAGTTTGCGTGGTGTAAAATTATCGATCTAAATGTCTTTTTGGTCTAGCTGTCACTTCCATTAGTTTTCTTGGAAGCATGTTTTAGGCACTTTCGGAGTACTGCATTTACACCGTATGAAAAAGAACTGTAAAGAACAACTAAAATAACTCTGTAACTCAAAAAAGTCAAGATGAATTTTCCTATGACTTAAAAGCTTTCCTGTAAAAACTTTCATGTGTACTAAAGCACACTGTGAAACTTCTGTCACTGCCATGCTGTACTTGGAAGCATTAAATAGAGCAGCAATGTAGGAATTGTATTTGCTAAGCTGGCAGACATCAGTTGTACTGATGTGACCTTTGAATGCTAGCACAGTCAACAGCCTCTTCCCACTTCAATGCTTTTCTGAGTTGGATAGCTTTGATTCTCAACAGTAAGAACAAGGAAGAGAATTTTGAAAAAAGGTTTAACTGGATCTTACTTTATTTGCTGTGCGTGTTGTAGTGGGTTGACTCTAGCTGGCAGGTAAGTGCCCACCCAGCCTCTCATTCACCAGCCCTGTAGTGGGATGATGGAGAGAATTGGAAGGGCAAAAACTAGAAAACTCATGGGTTGAGATGAAGGCAGTTTAATATGTGAAGCAAAGCTGCATGCACAAGCAAAGCAAAACAAGGAATTCATTCAGTGCTTCCCATCAGCAGGCAGATGTCCAGCCGCTTCCTGGAAATCAGGGCTTCATTATGTGTAGTGGTTACTTTGCAAGGCTGTCACCATAACCCCAAATGTCCCCTCTTTCATCCTCTTTCCCCAGCTTTTATTGCTGCACATAACACTCTATGGCATGGGATATCTCATGGTCATTTTGGGTCAGCTGTCCTGACTGTGCCACCTCCCAGCTTCTTGCTGTGGGGGCAGAGCAGGACAAAGGCAAGGACTTGGCGCTGTCATACGTGGTAAAAATTCGTAGGTTTAATGGAAATGCTTGCTTCTTTTTCCTTTTTAATTTTGCATATGTTTTCATTACTATGTTTTTATAGGTTTTTGGTTGAATATGAAAATATTTTCAGAACAGATGATGATTTCAGTAAATTGGAGCATATCACCCTCACGTGGCATTGAACCATTTCAAAATAACTAAGAAGCTTTTGTTTTGCATTACCGTTGTTTTACCAAAATGGCAACCAAGCCTACACCAGTGGGCAGTATATAGTTTGTCAGTGTGCAGAGATACTTAGCTGAGCAAATGTAGTTGCAACTAGTGTACCAGCCACATTTATTATGCAGCTATATATGTGACTGCAAAACATTAATACCTGCTGTATTAACAGGCAGTATTTGAATTTGCTGCCTCAAGGTCAGCTTTTGCTCCCCCTCCCCCTTTCACCCACATTTTACTCATGCGGGTGAACAAATACATTCATCTGTCTCACATTGTGATAAATTGCCTTGATGCCTCCTGCAAAAAATGCACTTTGTTTTTTGTATCATGACCATTTTGTGCAGGTTCAGGGGAGAAAAAGGTAAGGCTAATTCTCATATGTATGCTCTCATATGCAAATTTGCAGCTGTTAGTCTCTTTGGAATTTTTGGTAGCAGAAGAAAGTTTCCTGATCCCACAAACTGGCAAACTTTGATCCCATTGTGCATGTTGGTTTAGATAGGATATTTTCAAATAATGTATTTATTCAGTGCTAAGTCTTACCTGATGTGGCATCAATAGCATATTAATTTTGTTGACCTGTCTGCAACAGTTAATCTTGGAGCAGAAAAAGGAAAAACAGTAACAAAGTGTTGTGGCATCAGAGTGGTCTTTTGTCTAAAGAAGTTCTCTAGTGTGATTACTGGTACATTATCTGTGTCAATTTGTTATACACTACAGGTCTATAGATAATCTTTTTCTATCTTTTTTTTTTTTAATGTAGGCTTTCATATGTGAAGTAAGTGATCTATTAAATGCAATTCTTGGAACTGTAGTGGAGTATTGGATCATCTCAGGTTTGCTTATGGACAGAAATGTGTTCCATCAAATATCTGATGATTTGGCACAGTACCTTGCCATTGAATGTAATGGTGAGTATTTGAAAGGCCTCTGAAAGTCTTTTAATCAGACACACTAAAGTCCTCAGTAAAATCCTCAGTTTACTTCCAAGTTTTATTTTACCTTCTGTTGCATATGTGCACTCTTACGGTATGATGTGTATGTATGCAGGAAACTGGTTTATTGTGTTTTGTTGTGTGTATGCGTCTGTCTCTCCCAAGATCAAATGGAACAGGCTTTCATATTAAAATCCTTCAAATAAATCTCAGTAGGTGTTAATGTGAAAGCATGACCACACAGTATGAAGAATAAAAGAAGTAAAAAAAAAAAACCAACCTTTGGAAAATCTTTGGATCTGTCCTGTAAATTTAGGAAGAGCTGAAAGCATATGATAATAAACCATAACTTCAGAGAGGCAATTGGAGATACCTTAGCTAAGGCAGGTTCTCAGGTGAAATTTTTCAGTCCACAAACTTGATTTTTTTTTACTAAAGACACTTCAACCATGAGTCCAGAAGCTATGCTGAAATCTTTGACCCACGCAGACTCCAAATGAAACATTTCACTGTTTCATTACACATCCTTAACAGACTTTATCTGGGGGAAGGGGAGGAAAATTCCAACTAACCAGATGAATCAGCATTTTTCCTCTTCATTAAATATACTAGATAAGGAGAAATGTAACAACTCAAGTATCATTTAACATGGCATGTTTGTTGAAGTATCTGTCCTTTTAGCAACTATAGAATGAGGAGCTCAAAAGGCAAGAAAAAATAATCTCAAGAAAACTACTGAATGCTTTAATTTAATTTTGAAACTTAATTCCAACCAAAACTTCCCCCCAGTTATGAAATATGGACATCCTGGTTTCAGTCATTATTTTGTCTAGAGATAGATGTACATAGGCTTCATTTAAAGCGTCTTCTTCTCCTGGGACACTTGAGAAGAACTATCCTGAAAAAAAATAAACTAAAATCATAGTCTCTAGACTCCAGTCTTATAGAAAGCAAATCATCAGAGCCATTATAGCCTTCTTTAAATCATAGAAGGCCAAATCAGTTGGAACTTTATAGTATTCAAATCAATGGGGCTTTTAGTACCTACTACTATCCCATCTTTCCAACAGATTTTCTAGCTGTCATGTAATAGGGAGAATTTTTGGTATGTATTTCTGTAAGACTTTCTTACTTTCCACTGCATAAATGGAAAATTATACTTTCTATGCTCTCCTTTATTGAGAGGATTCACAAGAACAACATTCACAGTCTGGTTATAAAGAGTGAAGGTTATTTGACCTACTGGTGATCACTGCTGCTTGGTTCAGTCCACAGCACTTAGTCTTTTAAGCTGTTGCAGAGTTCTCCTAAATTCTGTTGCTTTTGGAGGAGAAAAGGTCTGTACTCTCAAAACTTGTGTTTCTGTTTTGATTGAGCCTACAATTAATGTTAATGTCTATCAGTTATGTATGAGTACTATTTAGCAGAATAGAGTAGTCCCTTAATACGGTAAAGACTTTCTTCCTCATGACAGCCCTCGCTTTCCACCTGTTTCAGTCGCTATTTTGAAAAAAATTAATTTGCTGGAATCATAATACAAATTCTTACTACCCTACAAGAAAAATCAGTCATTCTGTCTCCTTTTCCAAAAACAAAGAAAGGTAAGCCAGATATATGCCATATATATTGAGGTATATGTATTCTTCAGCCATTGTCTGGTTTTTGGTTGGTTGGTTGGTTTTTAAACAGTATGAAGTATTTGGCATATCTGAATGGGGTTGAAATTTGCTTGCAGTCATTTTTAATGTAGAGTTTATAGATCACCCTGCATTAGTTGTTCTTTGTTCAATGTGTTACGCATTTTGTCTGAATTGCGTTTGTATTGTGTCACTTACAGATTTTAAAGGTGGTCGCTTGCATAATTTCCAAAATAAATCATTCTCAAAACCAAGATATAACTTGTCTAAGATTGTATTTAGAGTGAAGGTTTTTAAAAGTTTCACATAAAAAGTGGTGCTTTGCCTTTCAAAATCTGTTGACCATTCTCTTAGAAGCTGGTCTTATTATCAGATGATGGATATAATCTTTTTTAATATGAGCATTTTTAGTATTTTTCCTAGAGACTAGTTTCTGAATCTGAAATAGCAGGAAGAAAAAAAAAAAACATCTGGGAGAGCTATCTTCTATATAACTCTAGATGTACAGGTTTACATATTCTTATTTTAAGGCTTTCTCTTCCCCCCTATTCCCTGTGTTTTTATCCAGGTTTTTCAGTGCATGAGTTAGAAATGTTCCTTTGTTCCATACCATCCCTCTGGCTTCAAATGTTTGTTGCAGAAGCAGTTTTTAAAAAACTGTGTTTACTGAGGAATATAACTATTTCTACAGAACCTCTTTCTCTTCAGAAAATAGTAAGTAACTCATCCATCTAACATCACACTCAAGTATTTTACAAGTAATTGGATTCGTGGAAGTCTTGGAAAATATCTTTCTTTTGTGGTCTAAGGTCATGCTCACGGCATGCATTGTCTTCCACCTGTAGATAGACTGTACTGCATTTAAATTTCTCTTTGATGGAGACCTGAATTTAAAAACAATGGTAAGATTTTTCTTACCGAAGAATCTGTAACACCCAAGTCATCTGTTTACATTCAGTTAACTTTAAAGGTCAGGATGAAAGCTTTTTAAAATAATCTCTGATGTGAACACTTTATTTCAGTGTTACATTTGTAATTAAGGAAAATGTGTGTGATTTTTCCTGGGTTATATTTTCCTTTTTTTTTTTTTTTTTTTGCAGAGATGATGGTCTGTTATTCTGTTGGGTTCAAGCATTTGTTATATATAAGATTTTATGACTTTGAACAACAATTTTTTTTGTGATTTTTATCTCCTTAAGAACTTTCTCCTACTTGCAAACCTTTTCTTGCCTTCAAATCAGAATTTCTGATAGCTGATGAAGTAATATATGGTGAAAACTGAGAAAGAAATTCTCAAAACCATGACTACTGGCAGGATGCAGGCTAATCAGGGAGATCACACAGTAATGACATGCCCTAACTTAGAGCTTCATTTCAATAATCTTAATACTAATGAACAAACACAACATGGAATCCATAACTGTTTCTATATGTCCTAAAATTCTCCAGGTAGAGTCAAAGAAAAAGAAATTTGCACTTTTATGTATTTGCCATACATAAGTTTTCCTGAATTTTACATGAGCTATTGTGAATAGAGAACATTGTTTATTAATACATCATGTTTAAACAGAGCTTGAACAAAGGACTGTCAGAATTTTAAAAATAAACCAACTCTATGTCTAATACTTAACATATGTTGCCAGCACATATGCAGCAGCAATTGCTATTTTTAGTATTGCCATGACTACTGATCACTCTCTGCAACTACTTAAATGTAAATTTTTGTAGTGCTTGAAACAAGTTCATGTGCTTTTTATAGCTTTCCTTAACATTACCGTGCCTCCTTTCTCTTTCCCTATAATAAATATTAACTACTGTCCAATTTTGCCAGCTCTTCTCATACAGCATCTTATCAGCTAGGCTCTTATATGTGTTTAAATGGTGACCTGCTACTCTCTGACAGTAAATGTAAAGTGAAGGTGCCATTAAGGTGTCCTTCACCTATTGCAGATTGCCTGCAGAATCTACAGTGATCTGCTAGATACTCAAAGCCTTCTTAAATATCTTTCTTCATGTATTATTATTTTGCAATCATTGAATGAGTCTCCTCAGTGGACTTTTTCCTTTGCTTTTGCAAAACTGCAGAAACTTACAAGACTTTTTAAAATGAGTGGTGTAGGTGGGTTGTTGGAAGCTCTGTATTATAAGAAAGAAGCAATATCTACAATGTCCAAAGCTATCCTACTAATGGGACAGCACCTAAGAAAGATCTAGCTTATTACACTCACAGTGCTTAAGGGCTTGATCGAGGCCCTCATCTTAGAAGAGATGAAGGAGGGGAGTGAGTATTTTTTTACCAAATTACCCCCTGGGTTTTGCTCCCTGGGTTGCAAGGAGGAAGCTTGTAAATATTTTCATTAAGTACCTGAGAATCAATTAGCTTTACTTCAGTCTTATATCCAGCTAAAGTGATCAAAATTTTCTCAGCAACCAAAGATCTACGTCAGAAGTCTAGAATTTCCTCCTTTCTGGCTCAGACACAACCCGCCCACCTCTGAGGCCAGCATAAAGAGTGAATTACAAGAACACAAAATAAGATTGCAGAAGACAGCTTTAAACAATATATATGCCATCACTTAGGATATATTTTTAAAAATGTAGGTACTGCAAACTGTGGGTGGTGGATCACTGCTTTGCATCATGGGTGACCAAAGAAAATTGATACACTGCATTTTAATGTAGTGTATGCAAAGTAGTTGAAAATATTACTTTTGCAACAGGTCAGTTCCTATTTGCCCGCTTTGCAAGAGATAGGGATGCATGATGCAAGAGGGATACACAAAACAAAGAAAATAGGGCAGTGGCCATGCACCGAGTCTCAAAGGGCATTACAGATGCTAAATGGCAATAAGAACGAAGTCAAAGAGCTGCCTGATCTACCGTAAGTAATGCCTATAACATCACCAGTTTTATTCTGCTTTGGGGGACAGCTTCTGACCTGACACGTTTCCTGAACTTTATATGACCTCTTTTGTTGTCTACAAATTACTGGAACTGTCAGAAAGCTCCGTTATAAACCTGTAACACCTCTGGGCTGGGGTTCCCCCTTTCTCCCCATTATCCATTTCAGTCTGTGTGCAGTCTGATGTAGTTATATTTTCCCAGTATTAAAGAGTGCATAGAGAAGTTGAACCATTCATAGAATTAGCTTTAAAGAAAGTTTAATTGTGGGTAATTTAATTTTATTGCAGTTTTAAATACAGTTATAATTAAATGAAATAAAAAGTATGTAATTAAGTTTCAGAAATTACTCTGAAATTCATAGAGGATCTAAGTATGGTGTATTTTAAAGCATTAAGTACACATACATTATCTGAAAATACGGAATACTGATTTTAGACAAGTTCCCTTTGCTCTGTCTTCAGTGACTTTAAGAAGCACCCTCCATTGACACATATGGTTGGAGCAGAAGCAGAAGGTGAGACTGCACATACCAAAGAGAATCACTGCCGTTTGGCTGAAGAGGTACATTTTAACAGAAGAAATACTAAAGGTATTCTATATATCTAATTTATGTTAAGAGCTTTATACGGTTAAAATCAACAGTTTCAGGTTTAAAATCTTGTCCTGGTAAGTGCTGATTAAAATTATGGCTTATACCCAAGAATTACTTTCTTATGGTTCATATTCCTTTTTTCTGATGTGTATTTAAAAGGAGGAATTGTATATATGGTGGAATAAAGCTGCCTTCATCAGTCCCCTCCCCCTCCTAGATATTAAATACAGTGTACAGCTTGTGCAAGCTCATTCCAGTCTTGCCTGCCTTACTTTGCTAATCCACCTCAACCTGTGCTTGGTAGGATCAACGTCTTCTGATTTGAAAGTATAATTCAGTCTTCATCTCTTTCAGTCCTAGACATTTTGTGAACAAAGACTGAGGAGTATGCTATGTTACATAGCTGTGTTAAGCATATGGACTGTTTTCTCCCAGGCATTCAGCCCAGACTATGAAAGGCATTTGGCTTTTGTCTAAGCTGTACTGGAACCCAAGTACCTAAGGAATAAAATAACACTGCAATCATTTGGTTTCAGCTTATTAAACAAATTTAATAAATCGTACTTTACATGAGCCTTTACCTGAACAGAATTACTTGCTGGAACTACTTTTTGTCATCTTCATCATCAGAAATTTACATCTATCGCTTAAAACACAATTATATTAATATGATACCAAGAGAAGGCTTAAAAAAACTTAGCAAATGCAAGCTGGGATTGTTAACAAAAATTAAAACCATAATTGTATTACGAACACTGAAGGACAAAAAAGCCCTAACCCTCTTTTGGGATTTAAGAGAGTTTCAGTAACAGAACCAGGCCATGCATTTTTAAAAGTGGTTCCCTTTGTCTTTATTGCTTTTGCAAGTAAAATTGATGTGAATTATTACATACTGACTTCTAGAAAGAAAACTGAGCTAGAGGACTAGGGCAGAAAAAAATCCAAACTGCTTTTTATCTATTCTTTCCCTGCCAACATTGTTAAGTAGTATCTTCTGTTGCAAGAATGAGTATGGAGCTGACAGATTTACATAGTGAAGGTATTAATATAATAGACCATCTAAATCTTATCAGAAACGCTGAGAGATTTAGCCTGAGATATTTTTCACTTCCAAGATGTTTGTTACATCATTTTTTACCTGGTGTCAAGATTTTCCTCTGGCTTTTGTTCAAACGTGATCATTTAGTGAAAGCAAAACAGGTTTTAGAATGGGTCTGTGGTTTTTATCATGTAGAAACTAATGGTGTCTTTACATATAGGTAGCAGTTCTCAGTTGCTTGCTGTTCAATTTTTCACACTTACTGCAGCGTTACATGGTATAAGGCTTGGGCTTTTTTTTATTTTCTGGAGGATTTTCTCTCTTATTAAGACCTCTTCGTGTATTTCTCTCTCTTTCCCCCTCCCTTGCTACTGTAGCCAAGTTAGACAGCCTATTGAGAAACAGCAAACCATCTGTTAACAGATTTGAAGTTCTGAATTATACTTGAGTGTGTAGAGGCACTCGTGCTTAGCCAGAAACATTCATTTGAATTAAGCTCTAAATGCTGTGTAAAAAGAACCATACATTTTAACAGAGGTTCATGAATAAATTTAAGGGAGGGCAACTGCGCTGTAAAGTTTTATTGCTTCAAAACCCAGTATTTTTGGTGTTCTGTGATCACTTGGTGCTTTTATAGTGTGATTGAAGCTTTAAACCTTGAACTGGGGGGAGATAATTCCTGTGTTAAACCATTTGCAATACAATTTCATTGCTGGATTTCTGGTGGAACAGAAGCTCTGTGGGTTTTTTTGAATTTTCTTGAAAGATGTTTAAACAGGATAAAGGAAAATCTTACTCATTATTGAATTTTCTGGCATATAGCCAGGTCTCCTAGTTCCAGGCACTTTGATTATTTTCTTTAGTTGCTATCTTGCCTAGTCTAGTGTAATCTATTAATTTTTTATGGTAGGAGAGACAGCCCTGCATAAAGCTTGCATAAGTAACAAAGTGGAGAGATTGATTCGGCTTCTCTCTTTGCCTGGAACAGACATTAATGTTAAAGGTAAGTTATTCACTTTCTCTACAGAACTAATAAGTAAAGAACTGTATCGATGTCTGTTTGGTAATAAGGTTTATATTTATACTATTAAAACTGTCTTTATTACTTTAAACACCACAAAATGAAGACTTTGTTGCAAACATTAAGGAAAGATTAATCTATTGCTGAAGTGTGTTTTAATATCACATTTTCTGTTGATTTTTTAAATACCTATTCAATATTTTTCAGATATTTTCCAATCTAATTTCTTGGTTTGAAATCACTAGCTGCCACTGTGTTGAATAATAAAAAGCAAAGTGCTTTGCTGTCTAATGAATTGCATTATTAACATTTTAGTACTACTTCTGCCGTTTTAAAACTTCCCTTGATTTATAATTCAGACTATGCTGGCTGGACGCCTTTGCATGAAGCCTGTAACCATGGCAGCACAGCGTGTGTCCGTGAAATTTTGCAGCGTTGTCCAGAGGTAGACCTGCTCAGTCGAGTGGACAGGGTGACTCCTTTGCATGATGCACTGTTAAATGGACATGTAGAAATTGGCAAGCTGCTACTTCAGTATGGGGGTGAGTGCATTTATGCTAAACCGGTTTAGGTAAATTATCCACTGTTTTGAGTCCATACGAAGGTTGTGGTGTTTTTCTTAATAGTTGCTTAAAATACAATGTTATTATGAAATATTATTTTTAAACATTTTTAAGCCAAGCTGTTTTGGTCACAATAAAAGTAATACTGTTTTCACACGTATCTTGATCAGCTGAATGTGAAATTAACCCAGATTTTCACATTTTTTACAATACGGTAATGTTTTTCTTCTGCACTTTACACCATATGCATTGTAACTATATTCTCCAAACTCATTAATGAAGATAAAGATTACCCAGCAAAACTAACGGTTTTCTTTTGTTTTGATCTATTTTTACCACAATGCAAAAATGGATCAGTATATCTCTATATAATCATGTATTTCAACATAAATTTGTTCAGCATTTATGAAAATTAATGTGATGGTCTTTGAAGAACACAATTAGCTTGGCAATTAGTTTAAGAAAGGAATCTATATTGTAATCATAACTGCTGTTTAGGGATAATAGTGGGAGGGGTGTCTTAGTTTCTAAAAAAAGATATGTTGCCACTTAGGCAGGCATGATAAATGTTTTGAACACTATTTTGTGTTCAGTGACATGGAACTTGTATCTTGTCTTGAAATATATCGTATCAATATAATTAACTTAGCATGTTGTTTAAAAAACAACTGCAGAGAATGTTCTTGGATAGCAATTCTTCCATCTTTTAATTCTTTACTAAAGCAAATAGTTGTGATAGCCTTACCATTAACCTACTTTGTCAGTTTAATCTCTGTGCCTTATACACCAGGACCAGATTTTTTCAATAAAAATCATTCTATGTATACCCATGAGGCAGAAGAATGCACTGTATTTAGATGACCTATTACTTAATTAAGGTAGAGAAAATTTTGTTTCATTCTTGGCATGAGACCGTCTGTATTTACAGTCTTCTTCTGCCCCCTAAAGGCTATTTCTGTGCCTGTTGTGCAAGCACCAGCTCATAATCAATACATTTCTCTGCAGTTCTACTTCTCTGTTTTCTGAGCCTCAGATCTGTGGCTCCCAGGTGTTCTATGTATCTACTGAACCATGTATCTGACATGCCAAGCCAATACCTGGGCTCAGTTCAATCGGTCTAAGTGATGCAATAGCCAATATTACAGTAAGCTCAGCTCCTCAATTGGAAATGGCATTGCACTGACAGATGTGCATTTTTTCTAGGCTGCTGTGAAGAATAGGTAGTGGATGAACCTGTTGTCCTAGGGGAAGAGCTCTACTTGCACTTGCATTCATCAAAGTTTTCTGGCAACTGTGAGGTTGCATGTACCCTTATCTTTGCCTTTGTCACACTCTGGATTTTGGCCTGTCAAATAACTGACAAGACTGTGGTAGAAGGCATGTTACTCATTGAGCATGAATTTACTCAGCTCAATAATTTAGAACACATCTCTGTCTCTAGAAACTTTCAGCTTGCAAAAATTAATCGCACTGGATAATCAGTGATGGTGTAAAATGATACAGCTTTCATCACATCAAAGTTACAACCTCTAGCATGGATATGTAATGCAGTGAATTACCTCTTGTTATTAAAACATATTTCTAATACTGTATTTAAGTTAAAATGACATCGTTCCTTTAGCACAGTAACCCACATGTAAGAGGATTCCTGATGTGTTCATCTTTGAAAACCACCACCTGCAGCATATTAACTGCCTTCATTTTTTTTTTGCTGGTGCAGCCGTTCTTAAGCTTATGAAGTCACCTGTAAACTGTTTAAATATTAATAGCTTCATTGTACTAATAAACAGGAAATTCCAGAAGAATGTAGTAAAATCTGAACAAGTAAAACATGTTTCATTTATTTACTTTAAAACTATTTGGGTGATTATGTTTTGCATTTCATAAGTCTGTTTAGATCAAATTTTGAAATTAATTTGCTGGGGGAGACCAAGATTCCTACCTCAATAGTTTAGTGCATAGGCTAAGACAGGGTTGGCCACAGCATCTGGACCAGTAGGATAAAAACCATCACAGTAACATGCATTTAATTTGGAGTCAGTGTCAGCAAATAACCTGGTCTATAAAAGGCTTAATAGAATTTTACAGCAGTAATAACATTAAGTTTTTACATACTGTGTAAATTCAGACAATACTGAAAAAATTTTTTACAAAGGGTCTCTCTGCATGTTTTAGATTGTATTGTAAATGTGTAGCTTATCAGTTACATCAACATAACAAAAAGGAATTTAAACAGACTTCTAGCTTTTGGGGAGGAGGGGTGAGGGGGAATCTTGTTTGGCTGCCAAATTTAAATACTGCTATTATTAATGTCTATACTTTTCCTGCAGGACCAGCCCTTCTACAGCACAGGGATTGCACTGGAAAATTGCCACTGGATTATGTTGAGTCCATCTCAGTAAAGCAAGAACTTTTGAGTGTTGTTCATCCAGAAGAGAGTATTGAAAGCTTCTGTGAACGCATGGATCAAGATTTTTGCAGTCAGCAGAGAGAACTGTTGATGATTTTATTTAATAAGATGCTGTTGAATTTTTGTTCAGTTTATAATCTGTCTTCACCCTTTACTTTAACTCTCAGAGAGGCAGGTTGTTCAAATGTACTTCCAGTAATGGCTCTTGATAACTGTGAGATGAAAAATACATTTTCTGCAGATTGGCTAGTAGATACATATTTTAGAGAGCTAGAAACTTTTCAAAAGCTTCCACAATTTCTTCAGGAAATATCTGCAAATACGGATTTCTTCCCTGGGGAACAGAAGAAGGTTTTATTAGCTACTCTGGAAACTATGGTAGAGGCATTCAAGCGCTTTGCTTAGATCTTTTTAACAGTTAGCTCCCAAAAAAACCGCATTGATTGAATCTTGAGTTTTCACCCTTGGTGCTGGCCAAAATTATTTCTGGCAACTGAAGCAGTACAGATTTCATAGCCTACATGAGCCCTACATGGTAGTATCTCCCGTGTTTTTGATACTTTCCTCTAGCAGAACCTGGAAGTCAGATGTATTGAGTCAATGTACTTTTAGGACAAATTTTTCCCAATACTAATACCTTCTAGTTTTCTAGCAGATCTGGGTGCATGTGACCACCTGTGCTATATCATTTGTACTAAGTTAAACTTTGCATTTTCAGTCCTGGAAATCTTTGTTAGCCATCTCATGCCATAGTTTTACTTTGTTTTCCAGAGGTACTGTTGCAAAAACAAGCATTTTTGCCTTTAAAAACGCTTGTGTCTACATATTTTAATATCCTTTAATAAAACTAATATTACCGATATCTGTCATTAAACTAAAACATGTTGAAAGGCAAATTCCTTCTATCCATTTTTGTCTTATTTATCCTTGTCTTGTAAAAGTTAAAAACACCATGTAAAATTCAAATCTAGGTAGTATATCTGTATTTACAGAATGGATGTACTAGCATTTCACATGTCTTTGTGAATTTTGTAGAAATGTTTACACAAAGGTGTGTGGAAAATCTTCGTCCCTTGTCAGCATGCAGCTGTTGTGATCACATTCATTTCTGCAGTGACTGAATTGAGGAGACTGGTGCAGATAGTCAGGAGATTTGCACTATTCCAGTGGCGACTCTAGAGCTTTAAAACAACCAAGTCATCCTGCTGCTTCCCATTACATTGATGTGATGAAGGGCTAAATCTACCCTCAGCATAACATACAGTGTCCTTGGCTGTGCTGTAACTTGTGTTGGCTCGCAGTCATTTGATAAATCCATTACACTGGCAGTGTGTAAAATGATCTGGTAACACTCCTGGGATTCCCTCAACTAAGGATGCCAGTGGTAGCAGTGGCACAAATCTAGTTATGTTGGCAGGGAAATTTACAGATGATTAGACAAAACGGTGTAAGTGTGTACTGGGCGTCAGATTCTGAGACGAAATACAGATCTCCTTAAAAATTACACCCCATTTAGTATGAGACTTTTGTTCCTCATTCTGTAAACATGCAAACTACACATGATAAATCCTCTAAACTAATCTTCTAACCTAATTTAGAAGGTTATCACATGGTCCTTTCAATTAATTAAGACAAAGAGAAAATCCTGTGCTGTTCCTTAAAGATGTTGAGGCTCATGAGGCAGCTGAACTACATAATTGTGTTGCATGGGGCTGAGGATGGGGAACAGTTATGTATTTTGGAGATGTCTTATTGCATATTTACAGCAACAACTACTTTTCCTGCCTTGTGTCTTGTAGAGATCCAGTGCCGAATTCGTCTCAGACTAGGGTCTGGGAGGAGACACTGGTTAGGGAAGTTTATTCCTTCCAGGGGGAGTGAAGGGAGTGTTGCTTCAGAATGAGAATACCTGATATTTTTCTAAAAGATTTAGTAATAAATTTGGAGCAGTTTAAAATCTTAGCAAGGAAGGTACTTAGTGACACTTACAATTCTTCTGTAATAACCATTTATAATATTTTAAAAAGAACCCTTAAAGAAAAGGTGTAAGTAATAGCTACTTCTGAAGCTGATGTTGATTGACCAGAAGGAATAAGTTATGTTGATACAGCTGGCTTGGGACACACTAAAACTTCCATTTAGCCTTTCTGCAGTTGAGACACATGATCTCAAAGCAATCCACTGAAGATGCTCAGATTGAGTTGGTCTGAGAAGCAGCCCTTCATTGCATGGAGTGGTTATTAATGACTGATTATTGTTTTTATACATGCATGCAGAACAGCCTGCTCTAATAGAATAAAGGGGCAGTGAATACTGGGTTTGTTTTGGTTTGTGCACTTTCTATTTTTCTCTAGTAAGAAAGCAACAGTGACAAAATCTTTGTCATATATGAGATGAACTAACATCAGTATTCCCTGTTGCAGGATGCGATGAAAGAAATACTATGTTCATACATTCTAAAGAATGCAAAATATGCATTTAAGGTGGCAATATTAACATTTTCTTTAGTCACAAATTTGAACAGTAATTGGAAATTTGAAATAATTGGGACTTGGAGAACCATAGAATAAAAGTCTGGTGGATCTGGGAAAGCAAATGCTTCAAAATATTCATATCTATTCCTAATATATTAGTGAATACATTACTGAACAAAATGAAAGTTGGAAAAACATTATTTTGGTCTGATAAAAAGTGATTCTGCTTAGATATCCAAGATATCCTGCCAATATTTTGCTGTTATGTGTTTTTTTTCTATGTAAATGACATCTTAATCATTTGTAAGTCCTACTTACCTATTTAAACTAATTTCAAGTAGCTCTCTCCAAGATGCTGTAAAATAGATAGTATATGCTAAATGAACAGTATTAACATTACAAAATGAAACAATCAAAAGTTAGCAAATGTCTGAATTAAAATTCCCCATGTAACACGAGGGGATATTGTCTGTATGTATAGTCAGTCTTTAATTATATGGTGACACCATTTTGTTCTCCCTTTAAGGATCATATACTGAAAATTTTCCTGTTCGGTGTTATAGGTACTCAGTTTTGTATGTATTCGAGTTTGCAAAGTCCATATCCTTAAAAAGGCTCAAATATTTTTCAGTTGTATTTAACATAAAATTACGTGCTTCATCTGATTTATTAGAGTACCTGCTCTCTTTTAGAATACCCACAACTATCCTGTTAAATCATGATTGCAATAAAGTGCAATCTATTAAGTAATTAAACTGTCTTCTTTTTAAAATCCCACATGGTATGTAGGGTATTTCCCCCTTCCTGGCTTAGTTAAAAAAGCAGGTAGCCCCTCTCTGCCTTTCCCCTCTATGCTGATGTTTTGTATGCCAACATGCTTCACAAGCGGGAAGGTGCATCGTCGTCCTCAATCAGGCCTGTTTTTCCCAGGACTCTGAGAAGTTCTTCATTGTTTTCCACCTTCAACATACAGCTGGAGAATCTCCCTTCTGCACATGGACCCAGTGCTGCCCAAACAGTTGAGTAACAGCAGCCAGCAGCATGATAGTTGCTAGCAGCAAAACAGAAGACAGAGCAGGATGTGCAGTCAGGAATTATAATGGATATGCCAACATATCGGTCAAGCTTTGAAAGTTGGTAAAAAGGTTGTATTAAGCTAAATTTCAGTGTTAGATTTTTTTCTGACCCATGTTCTTTGTTTCACATGACTGCCATGGCCAGATGTGAAGCACATCTAGCATGCAGAAGTCTTGGTGGTGTTCGTAAGATATTTTACAGAGTGCCTTTGATTTCAAAATGGTCATACTCATTGGAAAGTAAATCACTACTGCCAGTATACTAGCAGTTTGGGCTCAGGAATTTTGATGTTGATATGGTTTATTTTTGTTTAGGAGCAAAGGTTAGCTTATAAAATTTAAATATTACTGTGGCTTCAATAAACTTTTAGAATTTGTTAGAGAGGAGGTTCAAGCCTCAAAGCCTGAGCTCCCTTTAAACTATCTGAACAGTCCTGAAGCTCTTTTCTGCACCACCTACTATTCCAACTGATGCTAAGATGCTGCACTGCAAAAGGGCCAAAATGGCAGTATCACAAATGCCCTGGGCAGGTAGTATCAGACCTTTGCTTTGTCCCCCCTGTACTGGGCACTGCTGAGGCCTCACCTAGAATCAGTTTTGGGTCCTTCTCTACAAGAAAGACATTGGAGCAGGTCCAGAGATGGGCAACAGGGCTGCTGAAAGGCCTGGAACACAAGTGTGATGAGGAACAGCTGAGGGACCTGGGGGTGTTTAGTCTGGAGAAAATGAGTCTTACAGGAGACCTTACCGCTCTCTACAATACTTGAAAGCAGCTTGTAGTGAGGAGGATTAGTCTCTTCTCCCAAGCAGAAAATGGAAAGAACAAAATTGGATATTAGGAGAAACTTCCGTTTTAGGCTTGTCAAGCACTGGAACAGGCTGCCCAGAGCAGTGGTGGAGTCACCATCCCTGAAGGTATTTAATAGATGTGTAGATTGGAACTTGGGGACCTGGTTTAGTGGTGGCCCTGGCAGTGCTGTGTTAATGACCAGACTTAGAATCATAGAATAGTTAGGGTTGGAAAGGACCGTAAGACCATCAACTTCCAACCCCCCTGCCATGAGCAGGGACACCTTGCACTAAACCATATTACCCAAGGCTCTGTCCAACCTGGCCTTGAACACTGCCAGGGATGGAGCATTCACAACCTCCCTGGGCAACCCATTCCAGTGCCTCACCACCCTAACCGGAAAGAACTTCCTCCTTATATCCAATTTAAATTTCCCCTCCTTAAGTTTTCACCCATTACGCCTTGTCCTGTCACTACAGTCCCTAATGAAGAGTCCCTCCCCAGCATCCCTATAGGCCCCCTTCAGATACTGGAAGGCTGCTATGAGGTCTCCATGCAGCCTTCTCTTCTCCAGGCTGAACAGCCCCAACTTTCTCAGCCGATCTTCATATGGGAGGTGCTCCAGTCCCCTGACCATCCTCGTGGCCCTCCTCTGGATGATATTAAAGGTCTTTTCTAACCTATCGTTATTTTATGATCCCATGATTCTATGACAGACTGTCCTTTTCCCTATAAATTTAAGGACCAAAGTACACCTTCTTCCTCCACCATACCATGGTCCCATGTGGTCAACAGTGCCTAGTAAATTAAGGGGAATTCAACAATTATTGTCAGATAAGTACAGCCTTCTTAGTGGTCTTGCACTTAACTTGCACTGGCTACCTCAAGACCCTTCCTTCCACGTGCAAATGTGAATACAAATGACTGTTTAGTTGGTGAAGCATGCCGGTTGGAGTCAGAGGAACACCAGGAGAAACATTTCATGCTCAGTGATGATTCCCAAGTGCACACTGTTTGAAATATGTGAGATAACCCCTTTTAATTTGTAAAATGCACATTAAATAATTACCATCATCAAACTATAGTATATAAATATCCTTACAATTTCATGAATTTATCGTCATGCTTCCCAGGATATGAAATGATTCTTCTTCAAGAAAACAACCCTAAAAATTACAGTTTGAAAAGTATTTGTCCCAGCTCTCAAATTCACATGAAGATACAGTGAAAATGTACCTGATCTATCGACCAAACTTGTAACCTATGTGTATAAAAAGTATGGATTCTGGTTTGTCTAAGAAACTGGTTTAAGTCAGGATATCAATAGATCCTATTATAGTAGCATATCTTAGGCTTCTGAATAAATGCAAAATGCTTTCTTTTAAAAAAGGATGAGCTGAGGACTGTTCTGCTGACTGTCCTGCAGGCAGGTGGGGAAAGCTGTGCAAAAGAGGTAAACCACTAAAGCTGCAGAGCTCCAGTAACACTATCTACACAAGCATCCCTGAACCAGGTGTTTGCAGACCATGATTAAACTGCTCCAAAAATAATTAGG